TAACATGTTAGGCTACTAATCAATGAAATAAAAGTTGCCTCAGTTCCCGTTTACATTCACTTTCTTAACTGGTATAAATAAACCAATTGAATAGTTTGTCTTTCATTGAAATCATGAACCATCATCATTGAAAACCTGAAAGCGTCGGATAGCTGTCTGATCTCAGTATGGACTTCTCAGCACAAAAAAACCGAACTCAAAGACCTTCGGTCTTGCGTATATATATATATATATATATATATATATATATATATATATATATATATATATATATATATATATATATATATTCCATTCAAGCTAGCAAGATTACAGTTGTCTGATGAATTTCCCGGACCTCTTCACTTTTTTGTCTTGACTTATGTACAAATATTGCCAAGTTGACATTAGTTAGAGAATAATTAACATCCATGGAAAACTAATCTTAGTTTACAACCTCTTGATGCAGTACATCGCTAAACTAACTTTTATGATCGGACCATCGTCCGGTACGGTTATTTCTGGACATCAGTTCTCACTTTTGATTTGATAGCTGAGTCCACTCGGCTATACTGACTTATGAGTATTGATGTGTATTTTTTAAATATTGTTTTCTCTTTCGCGATCTTTTTCTTACTATCGTGTTCTTATTTGTTCATATCCATCTTTTTAAAATCTTTTTCAGCATAGACGTTTTCTAGATTTAGGAAGACAAGAACAACATTTAGACGGATTACAACAATGTGTAAACAGTGGAAGATTAAATGAACATCGTAAATATGTACAATCACAGAGAGTGGTAAAAGCGTTACAAGGTGCTGCCGATTGTCGAGTGAAAAACCTTATGAAATCTGTGGACTGTGATTATGACGATAGTCAAAGGGATTGTAACAAGTTAATACCTAAAAGATTGAGTGTTGGCAAAAAGAATAGTGATATAAACACGGTAATTGATTTACGTAAACGTTTTATGCCATTGAATTTATCTTTATGGATCAATTATGATTAAACTTGTTTAAACAACATAACTGAACTTGAAGCTCTAATTTCACGTATTCAAGTAGCTAAAAACAAATTTTATATTACTTCCTAAAATTCTTATTAGTTGTATGCTGCTTTAAAGTCAGTAGTAGTTAATGTATTGTATAATAAGAATCACAGCTTATAACGATGATTGAAATCAACTTTAAATTGTTTAGGTTTATCGAAAAATAAATTATTGAAGGTTGAAGATTGATTAATCTACTGATGGGTGTTGTTTTAGTATTCATGTATGTTAACGAGTTTAAAGACACAACTTTATAGATTCTTACGTATATAGATGACCTATGAACTTTTTTAATTAATTGTTTCAGTGATATAAAGAAACATTGATCATTAAGATAAGATCATTAGGAAAAAAATATGGCAAATTATATTCTTCGATATTTACCATATGGATTTCCTTGGGTTTTACATGTGTTTTCTTAAATACACAATATATTAATTAGGTTTCATACATTCCTACGTATTCCTGTTTTATGACTAACATAACGTTTATTAAGACTGAATTGATGAAAATATATGACCATTTTTATGTCAGTATTGTTAAATATGACTTGTTTTGATTAGGTTTACTACGACCAAGTCACTCAGTATTCTAATTGTGTGTCTACGTTTCAGCTTACTTCAGACTGTTGAATATTATTCCGAATATTGTTATGTTTTAAATTGCATGCTAGTCAGACGAAACGTACTAATCTGTTAGTATGCAAACCTTTCAATTCTTTCTATAAAATAGCTTGAGGACAATCATTTAATTAAAATAACCCATAGTGTCATTGAATAAGAAAAAGAGAATTCAGCGAAGAAAGCTGTACAGCTTAAGTAGATGATTTCGTCGAAAAGAAAATTTTCTTCGCTGAATTCTCTTTTTCTTATACAATCATTTAAATTGATAATGATAAGTTTTGTTCTGTAGAGTTTGACTGAAATTTTTGTGTTCACAGTGGCACGTGTAACTTAAGATTCTGAGGCTAGATATAATGATTGGGTTTGTAAACATTAACCGAATAAATAAGAAAAACTCATACTTCCAATAAAGTTTCTGAGAATCGTAGATGCTATTTCTTACAGAATCCATGAATGCGTCCCAATTTTTAGTCGTCCATTCTAATGAAACAGTGATCTTATACTCCAATACTTTTAAATTTCTGTTCAATAGATACCTCGAAATGATGTGAGCCTTTTATGAAGGCATTATTTTTAATGACTAAAATATCTCCCAAAATCTTTTTATTTAGTGTTTTAGAAAAGTTTGAAAACCAGCAGCTTGAATTTCGAAATTCATTGTTTTTCTGAGGCTGCTTAAACATTACAGTTTGATAGTTATTGATTATATCAGGATAACACTGAGTTTTGACAAATATATCTGATTGCCACCGAGTTATATCAATTTAGACAATCACGATATAATTGAAGACAGTCAGTGAATGTTTGCTGAAGGGATCCATTCGTCAAGCAGGAGGGTTGTATACCACAAAATACAAAAACAAAGTACAATAAGGAGATAATGTAATCAACAAATGTTCAAATAACATGATTATTGTATCATATTAATAGGTGGTTTACCACATTTTTTCTGTTTACATTATCTCTTTATTGTACTTTATAACTCAAGATGAAATAAATTCCACTGAATTTCACTCACAACTTTAACTCTAATTGTATATGGAACGAGTATCATGATTATCACTCATTTTATTAGTTGGATTCATGAGTCGATCTAAGCTATGTCATCAATAAAAACCCGGAAGCATTGGACGGTCGTTTTATCCTAGTGTGTGACTCTTCAGCACTGCACATTACTCATTTGCTAACAGCTTGTTTATATCATCTACAACTTCATCCTTTCTTTAAATGACTTAATCTTCAACATACAAATACCAATCAACTTTAATCATTATGCGAAATACGTTATTTCTCCTTCCTGTTTCTTATTTCGTTTCAAACTTAACTTCATTAATTATGGCATATCAAACATTTTATAAACAAAATTACTAACATAGATTTAGGGTGTTTGTAGCTGATGAGTAGTTTTGAGGTATGATGAACTCATGTTATTCTACATATCTCGATTTTCCTCGCCTTATTTGTTATCATTATTAGTTGATCAATACGTAGGACATTTCTGGAAAAAGAAACACTATTGATTTGGTAATAAATATATTTTTTGTGATCTAATTATTAGGAAATTGTATTTTTGACGTTTCGTGGTTTAATGTAAGTCACTTCATCAGGGTAGATAAATAACCGAAATTAAATTGACAATAGTTTAAATAGTACAAGGCAAACAATGAAAAATATTTTTTAGTACAATCAAAATCACAATAAGTCTGAATATGTCAGTGTCAAGTTATTCTTAGTCAAAATGAATTTCTTTGACATGTCACTATATTAATTTGTGCATCAGAAGGTGGATAAAAAAATATATATTTGTAATATGAATTAATGGGGTTAATAATTTGAATTTTCGTGTTTAGTGATTAAGAGGATAGTATCATCATAGTTCAGTTAGTGGTCAAGTTTTACAGCACACTTGCTACTAATATTTAAAGCGAGAAATCGAATTTTTTTTGCGATATCTCAAAGTAATTCTAATCGTTTAGAAATATCTCCCAAGAATCTGCCATTCACATCAGTTCACTCACTGTTTCATAACTGTTTATAGGAGTGCTAATAATACTATTTATCTAACCGCCCAAACCGAAGTAGGTGAATCATGGTCTCGAACCTACAGCATATTGATTGAAAATTAAGTGTTGATCTAACCCACGAATCTTAGCTTAAATGATCCAAACATTTGGCATTCAACAGTTAGGCTCAATTTGACCGTGACATTATTGAAATGAGTTGTAGTAGCCAAGAAATAAAATTAGACCTCAAATAATATACAGGTTTAACTAAAAATTGAGTTATTCATAGAACTGTCATTCTTATAAGATTCATTGTTTTTTCTAAATTAAAAGACATTGTATGATTCATTTTATTATGAAAATAAATGAAACATAACTATATTCTTCCCCTACTCAATTTTTTATGTTTTGTTTCTATGTATTCTTTTTGCCCAAGTCATTTAGAAGAAATCGCTTTATGTTGTAAAATTTACTGGTTGTGAAGATAGTTTAAGAAATATAATTCTCATTCATTTCTAACAATGGTTTGCTGTTATTGACGATGATGACCTTCAACTAAACCAGTTAATGTTTATTTACACTTAAGTAAACAATAATGACTAAATTAGTTTAAGGTAATGATTTTAATAGTTAATTTATAACTTGAAATTCGATACACTGAACAAATAGCTAGCTAGCTTACTATATATATATATACATAAATTTTACAACATTAATCAACTTCTGTGTGTAGTTTTTATCAACATGGATTAGTTGAGGTCGAATAGCAAAATTTCGTTTGGTACGATTTTCAGATTATTGAGATTATATCAAGCTTTTAGACAATTTAAATCATTTAACATTTCAAATCAGTGTGATCTAATGCCATAGTGTCATTTTTCTTTAGATTTTAGTAACTCCTCAGATAGACGTTTGTTCAATATTTTTCAATACATCTCTCTATAGAATAAATACTATTAATCAGGAAATCGAATTAAAAAAACTTGGTTGTTATATCTGACTAATAAAATTCAGTTACTATTGAAAAATTGTAGCATGAAATTGATTTATCTCCAATGTGAATTAATAAATCATTTCATCGGTCCCCTCTAATTATCTCATTTAGGCGTTTAAATAAACAGAAATTTATTATTATTATTATTAGCTTTATTAAATATTATATTTTTGGTACAATATAGAACTCTCAGTGCAAAGTATTTCAACGAGTTTCCATTTCTTATTTCTTGATCAATCTTGACTATAAATATTGAGTGAACGCCAATTAGATATTAGCAGTTTAGGAATCGACATCTGAATAATGTAAAATCTTTTTGATGTATATTGCCAGTAACCATAATGTCTCTGATTGTGTTCTTTCCTAACTTGTACAGCGAAAGATCGTGAAGTTTTTACAAACGCACTTGAATAAATTGTGCAATTAATTGATATAATGATCTGTTGAAACAAACAAAAGACAGATAACTTGTTGAAATATTTAGATGGCAAGAACAGGTAGCCCAGATATTCAAGCAGGCTGCTTTTATTTATTCCCTAGTTTGATTAATCAAACAATTATAATTAACTGAACTCTCGTTTTAGAGTTTAAATATAGAATGAGTTCTAGTCTATAGAAGTTTGTTTCTCAGTTGTCATAATCAACTGAAAATCTCCTGAACAATGAACGGTGTATTTTATGTTCTTTATATGACCATTCTACTAAACGAATCTGTAAAAGTACATTATAAGGGTGAGATTAAAACAATGGCGACGAATTCCCAACTAGTTTCCAGTCAATCAGAAACCAGATTTCTTAAAAGGATAGTTTACGGAAAATAAATTAATAGTACTTTAAAGCATAAACAGATTAGATATGGTTAATGAATCTCTTAATGTATTCTGCAGGCTAATCTGCTTGTAAATAAAAGAACGATATATAATTTTTTCCTTATGGATAGATAGATTATCCATCTTCTAACATCCTTGAAATGACTCAAGTGTCCCCTCATTATCCCTGGTCAGAATTACGTATTTTGGGTTAGGATTATCTGTTTAGACTTAGTGTTTTCATCACGAAATAGGAGAGGTGCTGTTTGATTTCTTCGTCCGTAAAATGTAGTCCCACCAGGTTAAGGTTTGTTTCAAGATTAAAACTTTAAGGTTAGAGATTAGGAATGGTGTAGATTTACTTGGAATGAAATATTCAATGAAAATTGTAACATTTTATGAGGCACTCATTCACCGAATTAACGGAAAATTACAAAAGGTTGAATAAGCACTAAATCCTGCGTAGCTGATGAGCTACGAATTCACGAACACGTATCCTATCTCCTTGTTTTATATGATATTTGTATTTTGAGCAAAAACTGAAAAGTTATGTGCTCAATTCTGATTATCTTGTCCTTATTCTATACTTTTACTAATGAATCTTCCATTTTTTAAACATCAAATCACAGTTATGAAGTTTTCATTATGACTTTTATTGGCTCACAAATACACCTACCAATATATTTTTTTGGCTATAGAATTCCCGATACTCGAGCTAGCAAAAATACATCTCAAGATATATATATTTCAAGTTTTGTGTTTGATAGACTTGACTATTATGAACAAAACGGTGAATATAAGTAAAGATTTTCAATTTTCCGGTAGATAATGGGTTCAAATTCCAGTATGAACATTACTGGGATGAGGGTTTATCCACCTGATGAGTTCCAAACAGGACGTAATGCGGGTATTAGACTCCAATTCTAGTCATATGTCATGTATACTATGTAGTAGTGAAAAATTTCAATGTTATAATATTAACGTTCATTATATATCAATAGTCCCAAGTATAAATATATGACAGTTGAAGTTATTTTAATTGAATAGAATACATGCTATTCGTTGAACGGGTGAAACTATTATTACTATTAAAACAATCAGTTTTCAGATTTTAGGTTTTAAGTTTTGAGGCATAATCAAAAGTATCATAAAAACTATCAATCATACAATGTGAAATCCCGAAAGTGATATCATTGTAAAGTATTAAAGGTGTGTTGAATTGCTAAGATTAGGTATAATGTGCTATTTTGAAACAAACATGATCACATATAAATGTAAAGGCATTTGGAACTCTTACTGGTTCTCATTCAAATACTATTAACAACGTATGTCAGTTAGGACAGGCTATCTTTTTGTTCATTCACTTTTAAATTCCAAGGAAAACTAAGTTTCTAGTGGTTTATTATTAGACAAAAACATTATTGTAAAAATTGAAAAGATTCAAATAGATCAAGATCTGGTCATAACGTTAATCATCTTCCCTTTTTGTAGTACATCAATGCATATTTGTGCATACGAATAATGTGAAATCTATGTGCAGTTATTTAGAAGAATTTATAGTGAAAATTGTTTGAAGTCAAATATGAGTATGAGTTGCTGTGCTGAAGATACTTTAATTTTATAATTAAATAGAGATTAGTGACAAATTCATAAACTTTAGGAGAAGGCTGTGGATAATATTTCAAATAAATATTCAAAACGTTATCTATCCGCCTGCTCGTTAACCAAGTAAGGGACAGTATAAGATAGCTCTTTCCCGTTCCCTAATATATTTCCGCATATTATCTGATCAATTAATCTATCTGTTACAGATTCTCATCCTACTTTCATGACATGATACTAAAATCTATAATAAGAATTGCTTATCAATCTAATTCTAATGATGTGGTCACCGTAATAACTATTACAAACGCTCTCATCAATTATTTGGAAATCATATTTTGGTGTGCAATATATGTTTTGATTGAGATCATGAAGGGATTAATGTTAGATCACCATTGAAAACCTGGAAGCACTGGATGGCCGTTTCATCCTGGTATGGAACTCCTCAGCATGATCTCAACAAAAACTCAACAATCTCCATAACCCTTTACTGATAATTATCATGTACTAACTAATTATTAGCTTCAAGATGGATTTCCTGGAATACTAGTGAGAAGCCACGACCAGTGGAGCTAAACTGTGTCTGGTGTGAGGCAGTTACTCACTGAAAACAATGGAGAACGGTTGCACAATATCGTGGATTGGTTAAAGTTAGACATTAACACTATCGGATGCAGGCTCAATGGTCCAGAGGTTAGGTGTTTGCACGCAAGACCGAAGGTACTAGATCCGAATCCCACGTTAGGAATAGTGGATGCACACTGCCTATCAGTGGGAGAGTATGATGTGCATCAATCCCTTCTACTCTACTGTTGTAAAACTGATCATGAAGTAGTAGAAAGCATTTATATGATAGAATATTGTTACCATAGTTATCTTTGAAGCTTTGTCCTCGTACTATGGAAACCATCGAGTCAATAATTATGAGATAAAATGTATAGTGCTAGTTATAAAAGACAGGTCGATTATTAAATCTCTCAGTCTTCATCGACCGAGGTGGCTGAAATATATGTTGTGCTTAACCATAGAAACGCTTTATTGGTTGACATAGGTGTAGGTTGAAAGAAGGCTAAGGGCTCAAAGAAATTATAGTTCTAGATTCTAGTTTAATAATTGTTAGCTTAAATTTATAATAATTTCCGTTCTTTGGTTTCATGTACCTAGAATAAATGTTCAATTTTTCATCGACGAATTAATGAGCAGTATTACATCGACCTATCTCACTTCACTAATTTACATCTCTCTTGTGACTTGCTGTTGTGTCCTATCGTAATGTATTTTTATTTCCCATTACATGTGTAGAATAATTCCTCTGGTATAATTCCAGCATTCCATATCAAACGAAGTTTCTACGCTTATGTTGATCTGACTAATCTAATTTAGATTCTTATTAAGCGTCATCTGAGAAGCCTAGATATCCTGGATTCGATCTCTAGTGAAACCGTGGATAAGTACTATTGAGTAACCTTAGACTAAGATGTAACAACTGTTCGGTGCTCTCTGACTTTCAAAGATTGTCTAACCAAAGTCAGTCAATTATGTAAAACTGCATAATCTAATTGATTTGTTATAAAACTGAGTTCTCATGATCAACCAATAGGATTGTCTATGCTACTGAGATTTTAACATATTACTCGTTGTTATCTAGTACTATGATTTGTGTTTCATAATTTTCCCATTTCAGTTTATCGTCAATTGCCCTAGTTAGTTAAATCGTTACCCGGTCAAGTTCCTAATATCAATAGCTTTTATTGTAAATTTGCGACTAATGTATTCGGTGATGAGGGTCTAAATTGGTCGGTTTTTACAAATATAAATTAATCAAACTGTAATTGTATCAGTAAACAAATCAAGCTGTATACCTGTACTTATATTTTCCTAAACCAATGCACTATTCTACCGTGCGGTTCTAACTAATGAATTTGTAGCCTACTTATTAGTTTAAAACATGTGCTATTATTTCATCAGTACGTCTCGAAAACAACTGAACACCGTTGGTACTTAGATGTCATCAACACTGGCATATAAATTCCAACGATTATAAGTTGAAGTTATTTAAATCAAAGATAATCGTTTAGCCTTCTAAGAATAGGTCCATAAACTGTTGCCAGACTTCTAAAACAATTTATTACTGAAGAAGGGCAAGGCAGATTTTCCAGTGTACCAACATTTCTATTGCTCAGAATAGCGAAATGCTTATTGGAATCTTTGGTCATATATACAAAATCTCCATCGATAATTCCCAATTATTATATCAACTTAACTAAACCCGAGTTCTTTTTTGACGATATACAATGTTTTATTTCTCCTTTTTTTAATTTACTAAGCCTATCTACGTAGATTTCATTTCACGTACAGCCGAAGAACAAATTCAAAGAGCAATGAATCATGGAGAATTTAATAATTTATCTGGTCAAGGTCGTCCAATTGATTATGATAAAAATCCTCATGTATTTGGGGACTCAACTGATAAACGTCTTAATCAATTAATGGCTAATCAAGGTTTCCTACCGAAATGGGTTTTGTTAAATAAAGAAGTTAATTCTCGTTGGAATATTGCTATTGATAAGTTAAATTCAATCCATAATGTAGAATCTAATTTACATTCTTCAATATGGTCACAAGCTTGTAAAGTAAGCGATCTTTATGACAACAACAGATATTCTTCTTGAATAAGTAAAAGATATAATCATAGCAGTACTGTAATCACTAGTTAACTGTAGTTGGAAAACTAGACCATTGGATTTCCAACTCATTGGTCTTAAGGTAACACATTTATTACAAAACCAGGTCTCAAGCTCTAGTTTATATGAGGCTGTAGATGTACAATACTAATGGGTATCAAAATTATAGGATAGACAAATAAATGAACCTTTACAGAATCTAATAAATAAATGGAAAGACTGAGATTGCTACACTTATTGACAAAATAAGTGAACATTAGGAATTGGAAATTCGTAAAAAGTTCCAATCCGCTACTGTCAGCAGATAGTCAGGCTTCGATAGTTTGTCTAGTCCCACTTTTTTCG